TGATTAACTCTCTCTTAGCATTAAAGCTTTATCAAATATGCAGGACAATCAAAGGTGGACTAGCACTCAGCTTAGATCCTGGACTTAATACTTCTTCATGCTTCAGCGTGCACAGAACCACTCTTCCAGTTGCAGCACACTGCGCAAAGGCCCAGCAGCCTTTGCTATTTGAACAGAAACACAAAAATCCCACAGCAAAAACCCTACAACAACACGACAGCACATACAACTCCTCCCATTTCCCCAAAATACTGTTTGCATGTCCGCACAGCTTGATATTCTTGAACTGTGCTGGCCACTGCTTACGTTAATAGCAGCCTTGCTGGCAAACTTAAGATAAAAATCACGAAGTACCACAGCTGGAAGACTTATCTGTGCAGATTTGCATTCTCCACACCTCAGGAGAGGCAGTAGCCCAACACTGCTACAGTTCAAGAAGAATTTAATCAATGTAGGTGTTTCTATAAACAGTGTGTTATTTAAATGCCTAACGCTAAGAGTGGTTTATGGTCCAATTAGGCCTAAATGGACCGATTTATTTTAAATGCGGAACTGTAGCACTGGACATCAATAGCACTAAGTAGCGGGAAGCTGCTACAAAGAGCTGCTGTCTGTGGATAAACCCAGAGGCAAAACTCAGCCAAAATCTCTGACATACACATGACGTAAATCCTGACAAGATGCAGTACCTGCATCAGCTGTTTGAATAACACGCATCTGCACTTTTCTGGGCAGCTACCGATATTACACCATCTATAGCTACCTCAGCTATATGCCAGGAATACTTTATTCAATTAGAATGTTAATGCAATCACGTAAACCCTCTGTCATCCATATTCATTCCACTGCTCATGTTACAGCTTTTACAGGCATGGCTTTACATGAAAAATCACAGGTTATTTAGGTGGGAAGAAAGCTTCCAGAGCCTTGGAAGCAATATTTGTCTGGCTTCAGTTTAAGTGTCACCCACCGGATGTCTCACAAAGCCACCAAGACTGACAAGTTTACTCTGAATCTTTTTTTCCAATGGGAAATTGCCAAGTGTGCATCTTAGCTCTTTTAATTTGCTAATGAAACCCAATTTCTCCTAAAAAGGGCAAATACCTTTTTAAAAGCACACAACCATGCTTAGCAGTGTGGGCATGGTAAAAGCTCAACAAAACCCACACCACCCCAACTATTATCATAAGAATGAAGTCTAGATTTTTTTTTTTATTTGAAACATTCATAAATTGTTACCTGCACCTTACACTACCAAGGTAGAGGTAACATCAGAGTTTTTAGTCTACCTCTGCACCGCACACTTGAGATGCAAGCCGTGTCAGCCAAAACCCCAAGCCACAATTCTCCCACCATCTCCAGATCCCCCCTTCACCTCGACTCAAAAACCAGACAGCTCAACAACTCATAACGACTTTTGGCAATTCGATGTTCTCCAGTGTCGTTTTATTTGGTGCTTAAAAAAGCAAGAGGCATTTAACACAGAACAGATCACAGTACTACACAAACTAGATCCTCTTACACTTGGATCTGATCGTATTGCAGTGTCCAAGGAAGGCAATATGTTTATCTGCTTTATTATAAAATTATGCTGCACTCTTTAAATCGAAGGGACAAACTCGCCAAGTTTCCACTACCTAAAGATATACAGGAAATAGAACAGGAAAAGAAAAAAAAAAAGGAAAGGATGCTGCACTGCTTATTAGCACTATGTATTCTCTCCTAGAAAAATTTTAAAAAGATGATTTCAGCCATATTAACAGTTCAAAAGTTATTCGAGCTCTCAAGCACAACGGAAATGTCTGTTATTACACACCATTGTTCTCTAGAGTTCTTCAGCTACTTCCAAAGTTTTTCTGGAATAGTTTAACTGCAATCCATAAGTAATCTGGTAGCAATCGATTCAGAAGTAAAATACATCGCAGCACAATTTAGTACCTGCGGTTTCAGGCAATCACTTGAGTGCTTTCAAAATGCGTAACAGAATGTCACAGTGACATTTTTAATGCTGCCTGAGGATTTATATTGAATGCCCAGAAAAAAAGCCAGGCAAATGAAAGAATTTAAGCAAACAGAATCGCAGCTCAATTGACTACGAAACAAAACTTCCCCATCAATGCAAAATACTGGAATTTTAGAATGCTTTGCCTCCAAGCCTGAAAAGTCATAAATTTATTTATGCAAGAATCACTTTGAAGGCTATTGGAAGTTGTTTACTAGAGATCTAAGACAATTCTACCTAAAGCACCATATTGCAAATGCCTTTTAGACACTTTTACATCAAAAAGAAATAAAATCGACCCAAAACCCGGGGAAGACACAGATTTAATTTTTTAAATTAGGAGGAAGGGCAAAAACACAAGCTCAGAAGCCTGCACTTAAAAAGCCAAGGACACCTAGGGAAGCTAAATTCTCCTACTAATGCCACGTAAGAAAAATCAGAACTTTTTTATTGAGTTAAAACAGGTTTTATTGTGAGTCATAACACAAGCTGCCAAATGAAATATAGACATCTTGAAAAATATGAATCAATGCAGCTTCTTCAAACTTGGTGGTTTCCAAACAGCGTTATTACATTTATATCTAAGATTAGAAAAAGAACTTGCTCCAGAGAGTTCTGCAGCAGGCCAAGGAGCTTTACACTTAAATCAATTTAACTGAATGTTATGAGAACACGAATATGGAAATGGCAAGCTGAAAAAAAGAACACTATAGCAATTCACACAGAGGGCAAACAGCTCAGACCCCACCCTGCAGTACATCGAAGAAACAAACACAGAATTTCTGAATTATACTGTTGAGGAAAGGGGAGAATAATGCATTACGGGAAAGTTAAGTTTTCATTATTTCATGATTTTCATTAACATCAGAGTTCTTGGAACCAAGGCACAAGTTATGAAAATGCAGCAGCATGCTGAGGGCAGCTGGGTTTCACTAGATACCACTGTGTGAAACCCATCGCCAGACAGGGGAGCGGTACCACATCAACCATCACTTGCACCCAGGATCTCAAAACGCTTCCCCTAGAAGGCAGGGCTGCTTGAGCCCTTCTGCCGCTTACTCGGCTTTGAACACTCTTTGAGCATGGCAGCAGCTGAAGAACAGAGTGTTTTTCAGAAGCCTGAAGTCTAAGAGGGTTTAAAATAAAAACTCGCCTTTCTAGTCCCAAAGAGCTAGAGCTCTTAGAGCTTGTTCTGGAGCTCCCTCTTGAGGTTAGATACTACCCTACATTAAAGACATTTTATATCCTCACAACCGATTCTGCTGAAACTGAGAGTATGTTCTTCACAAGAGATGTTATCAAAGGCATCTCCTCAAACCTCTGTACGCGTAGAGAGCATTAGAGGCTTTTGAGTTACAAGCACCGTCACCTTAAGAAGCTGGTGAGAAGATAAGACCACGTTAAACACAGGAAGATGAACTGAAGAGGTGCTTTACTTACACACCTTTGGCAGCCAGTGCAGGAGCACCACAGGCAGCAAAACCTCTGTGACCGTGAATCATGAAATGGAACAACACACACAGATGATGAGAAACTAACAGTGCTGTCTCTTTGTAAGAAACTTCAACTTTTGCAGCTTTGGTAGCTTTATTTAAGGCTTTTAACATGTCCCACTCCTGGAGTGACCTTTGAGTGACTCTCAGCATCCTTCCATTCCCTTGCTAGACCTACCTTGTTCCACAAAACCTGATGTCATTACTCCATCGTCTGTGTTGCCACAAGCTGCTACATGGGCTGAAACTTCTGCCTTTCAATGTGCTGAATCGGGGTTTACTAAAAGTTGGAAAACTCTTTAAACCAGTTCTGCTGAAATCTCACTCTTGGAACCAGCATCTTTTCACCAACTCTTCCACAAGGAAGAAGCTTTCAACATAGAAATTCCTGAGACAAGGATTTTTCCAAACTCCTGTTGAGAATTGTTTTCATCTCCCACAATAGCGAAAAATTCAAAATTGGGTGGCCAAGAAAGCCTTTGGAAGCAGTGCCAGAGCCAAAAGAATGAGCCTTGCTGATGATGGTCGTATTTTAATAGTGCTGAGTCCCCACTCAGCACTTTCCTCCATCCTTGCACAGAGCCCCATGCTGGCCAGTCGAGCCACCGATGACCACCTCTGCCTCACAACTGCTAAGACTACCCCAGCCAGTGGCAAGGGATTTCTATAAAAAGCCAGTATTGAGGAAAGATTTTTTTTTTCCTCTAAGTCACACCTTTCCAGGGAGGCCCGCTTGCTGTTTCTTCAATCAAAGCAACATTTTTAACCCTTTTCCAGCTCAAGCTGTGAGGTCTTCCACAGACTATCATGCATCAAAGGCATATCATTTTAACTACTAACATCCTATGACAAGGCTTGTAGCTTTAGTAAGCTTTCCTATTTTAGGGCAGAATGGATTTCAACTCGAATGTCTCGGAACAGCAACACATGGTTTATTCAGCTGTCCTCAGTGAGTAAAGCAACAATGAAGAAGTACACAAGTCTAGAGAGATGCTAGTCCCTCCCACTATGTGCCTGGCTGTGCTTGAAGTGTTCAAGATACTCCTCGTTTCACAAACATAGCCCTTAATTTGAGGTATCAGTTCTGAAACTGAGTTGCTGTTTTCAGATGCCAAGTTACAGCCAGATCACCTTTTAAAGCAACACAAATTTTATTAACCCTATGCTACTCTCCTTCCTCTACATTGTGTGAAAAAGACAAAAAAAAGGACCAGCAAAAAACCCCCCAACAAACAATCAAAACCATACTAGCTAGAATCAGGTCTTACTTGACCAGGAAATTGTGCACAATCATCAGCTACACCAAGTGCAAGACTAAAAACAATGGTCTAAAACTTGGACCTAGACAGGGTCTCCTCTATTGCGAGAGGACATCGAGTTTTAGCTCCCTACAACCAAAAGCCATCATAGTAAGTTACCAAAAATATCAAAGCAGGTTGGGAATACATATCACAGCCCACATTAGGTCCTAAGTAACATTCTAGAAGTTAAAGATGTTTTCTTACTTTTCATAGTGCCTTCCTCCTCTTCCTCTTCTGAGTTTATGACCATCGTACCCAGCTGGGATTCCAAGGTGCCATCATGTTCTATCATTGTGTTGGCTCCATCACTCATCGTGTTCACAGCTCTTATGGTCCCAGTTTCATCTCCGCTTGCTCTCACCATGGTACCTGAATCGGTTTCATCTTCCTCCTGTACAAGGATGCCGTAAATACATTTTTACTGATGGTGGTGAAGTCCCATGAAGAATGATAGTTTTAAAGGATGCTGGCAAGTCTTACTGCTTCAGAGACTTTTACAAATACACACAGAAGCGACATATTGGTTTATGCACTTAGTTCTCTCCCTGTCATCTCCAAACAGGTAATGAAAAGTCTTCACACTTTTCTGCCAGAATGACACATAAGGGAACAGATAAATAGTTAGCAGAAGCTTCTCAATCCAAGCTGTAACTCACTTCTGACCTGGTGACCTGTCCATAAGAGCAGATTACACTACTCATTCAGTCATTAGTGTTTCTATTATTGTTGCCAGTTTTAACAGCCCACCTGAACCACCTATGTCAAGGAGTACAGCTCACCGAGGAGTCATTATTATGACACAGCAACAGCTCTAAGCCTGGGCACGTGGCACACGCTGAAGAGAAGAGATCACACTATTTTTCAGGAGTCTGTCTTTAGCATTTAGGTTGTTTTACTTGCTATAAACTTCAGAAGCACCGAAGATAAATTAACTGAATTTGAAATTCTTTAAAAATCAATGAAATAGATTACCAAAGTCTAAAAATGTTTTTCAAATGAAAATTACTTCCTTCCTTTCTATTTGTTAACAAGTACTAATGTTATACAAGTTTGAATTATTGCTCTCAAGGCTCAAGAGGCTGAACTCTCTAGGAAAACACAATCTCCTGAAACAAATTCCAGTAGCACAGCTTCCAGCAGACAGTGACATTAGCCAGATGTAGCAATTTCATTACATCCTATGTGCTTCACTACGTATATATTGTGACCAGTATTTAATGAAGAACAAGGTCAAAATTTCCACAACCTATTTAGTTCCTTGGAAATGCGGACCAACTATCCAACTACAGGCAGAAGTCACTTCCTAAGTTTACAGTAGAGTTTCCAGGCATCTCACCTGGGATGAGACTCATGTTTTGCTACGACATTCACATTTTTGTGTGACCACGGGCTTACTAGTCTAAGTGTTAGAGGAAAAACAGGTCTCACGCATCAAGCTGTAATATTCCATCTCAATGTCACTGAAAGTAAGGAGTACACACCTTCACATTCTGGCGTTCCACATGTTTTAACTGCTCTATCAGGGGTATCTGTATAATTTACTTCCAACCTCAAAATCAATAGCAAGAGGAGGAAAAGTTACACAAGATGTTAATTGAGGAAAAGTAATTTTGTGTGGAGATGAATGGGTGAGGTAGTAACAAATTTGTTAGCTACACAACATTTGACAAAGGACTACAGCAGAAACTTCCACAGCACTTGAGAAGTGCTTGGGAACACTTTTCTGCTACCAGACACGGGATAGAGAAGCTTCGTGAAAACACACACACCCCGACAGAGACCACCCAACTCCATTCCATCGACACCGTCTCTCAGCGGTGTGATTCCAGATCGGACAGAGATGAAGAAGAGAGGGTAAGGACAAGACTCTTAGAGTCAACACGATGGCAAAACGACCAGTAAAGTTACTTCCACACTGAATAAACAGGCGGTCCTAAACTGGAAAACTAGATGAACAATGTCTTCATCACAGACACTGTGGACCATGCTGTTCAAGTCTAACCTCTGAGCAGGACATACAATGCCTTTTGTTGCATTTCATTTATTCAGGTTGAAGCAGGAAGAGGCTCAAAAACAGCTTTCAACATGCTTTCCATATCACATGCTGTAACCACTGAAACAAGGAGCCCAAACTTAAATTCACAGCAATCCCCTCAACACTTGTCATGCCCTCACCTCAGGTTTCTGTCGGTTGCTCTTGTGTAGTAGAAAGTTTCTATAAGGGGAGTTCTAAAGCACAACAATAGTAAAACAACACAACATACTTATTCCATAGCGCACAACAGATGATATTACTTTATACTAGGAGAGCAGTTTAAGACCTGAATTTACAATGAGAAATTCTCATTATTGCATAAGTAATATAATCCAACCGGAAAAATGTATCGAGGCTTTTGAATACACTCCTTTGTAGACCTATTCAATCACAAGTCTCTAGCTACACTCCAAACTAAACAGTAAACCATGTATGTGGCCATTCCCTTCAAGACTGAGCAGGGACCAAGCATCGGGCTAATCAGTCATAAAGTAGAGAACTTGAACTACGTCAAATCCACAGGCAACTGGACAAAATATTGCCAAATCAAAACAGCTACGTCTTAGGAAAGAAGTGAGAGTTTGGACTTCGTACTCCGTTGTTATTAAATACTCACTGAATTTTCTTCATCATCTTGATCTAGTTCACGCTGTTGTGCCTCTTGACGTTTCAGCTTGATATCCATTGCTTCGTTAATCAAGTCTCGCAGGATTGACACCCCTTTGGCGCTTTTAACAAATGGATGCTGAGAAGTATTTAAAAAGAAAATAAGCACTGCATCCAAACCAAGATATAACAGTACAACACTATTACTATGGCCTACTTCCAATCAAAATTACAGTTTTACTCAATACATTACTAAAAACATCCAACATTTCTATTTGGCACAGGAGGGAGACCTCCCACCCTCAAAACAAGATCATGCCCCAAAGGCAGTAACTTACTGCTGCGAGACCTTGCGCTCTTCACCCTCCCACAACTCTACTTATTCCTTTCTTAGGAGCTTAGCTGTCAAGAACCAATTACACAGATCATGACCATGCCTTGACTGTTCTGAGCAATCACTTTTGTTTCACCTCCCTTTTTTAGTGTTTCAAGAAGCAGTTACTTGGCAGCACTGGGGAGAATTTGCAAGTGAAAAATCCTCCAACAGACAAACAAAGTAACAACTCAGAAAAGACAAAATGTAAGATATTTAAAATCAGATATTAAAAAGTAAAACCTGTAGTGAGCAGGGGCAGCAAGAAATTAAACCAACGTCTCAGACAGCAGCACTGCCTACATCAGCAAGCTTTCCCTAGAGCTTATGCTCTTGTAAGAAGAGGCAGACCTGCAGAAGCTGTGTTGCTGTGGCACGCTGCTCCGGGCTCTTCACAAGACACTGTTTTACAAAGTCCGTGAAACTGTCTGACCAGAGCTCTGGTTTCCGGAATGTTGGAGGCGGATTGGTAGGAATCATGAAAATTGCCTGAAAACAGAATAATATTCCAGGTTTCCAGACAAAGTTTAAAGCTTTCTACAACACAAATACACACAAACACACACTGCTAACTAAAGGAAAACAGACATTTCAATTTCGCTGCTTCTGAAGGGTTTGTGCCAATACTATACACAAATCTGCTGAGAGGGATCAAGTAGCAAGAAACCTCTCATTACACGCTTACACATCTAAGTCATTATAAGCCCCAAATGGTGTGAATCTGCCAATTTTAAGTCTTAAAAATTTGTGCTTGCATAAAAAAATAAAAAGGTAAAAAAAATCACTTCGGGTAACGTAGCTGAAAATACATTTCTTCACAAGCAATACAGGGAGTTTCAACTATGCCTCAACAGAAGAGGACTGTGATTTTCCTTCTTATGAAGATTATTTTCAAAGACCTGTTTTTCATTTAGTCGACAGCACACAGAATTGACAGAAAACAAATCATTTAGATTAAAAGGAAGATGGTAAGTTGCTATGTTATTTAGCCAGCCACAACAGCAAAACCTTCCCATGTTCTGACATGAAAAAATATTTTTAGATTTATTGGCATTTTCAAAAGGCCACAGTCTTACCCTCATAGGATGAATATCTGCATATGGTGGTTTGCCTTCAGCCATTTCTATCGCAGTGATTCCCAGAGACCAGATATCTGCAACACAATTATACCCAATTTCTTGAATCACTTCTGGAGCCATCCAAAACGGGGTCCCTATAACTGTGTTCCGCTTTGCCATGGTGTCCTGAGAAGAGGAGGGGGATAAAGATCCAAACAATGGCAACTCTATTAGCCACAGACATTCAGTAATGAGTTATCACTTGAATTATCTTCCACTTGTATACACAAGCATTATCAGATTCAGAAAGACTGCGATATGGAGCGTTGCAAAGAGGAATTGAAATGTGCTTACAGAACTTAGAAATATCCCAAAGAAAACAGCAAATGCTATTGCAAACCACTCCTTAGGTATAGCAGCTTCCATAGAAGAAGCTCTGCTCTAATGTGCTGCTGTTTTACTATCTCAATATGATGTTAAGTGCTAAAAACCCGTTTAGAGCAATTTCTCGAAGTCTCCACGAACACATCACACTCACATGCAGGTTAAAAAAGATCAACTGAAGTGCATACAAGCATTTTGGTTTTACTTACTGTAAGTTGTCCTGCCACTCCAAAATCTGCAAGTTTAGCATGTCCCTCTGTATTTAGCAATATATTTCCAGCTTTGATGTCTCTGTGTATTTTCCTCATAAAATGCAGGTACTCTAGTCCCTTCAGTGTTGACTGCACTATCGTAGCAATCTCCTCCTCTGTGAGCTAAAGAAAAGGAGAGTTACCGCCTATCACCTGCCGAGAAGTAACACTATTGTTTCAGTCTGTTTTCCCCAAGATTCTCTAATTGCTATTTAATTGCCTTCACTACAGGTTGTTCTACTGATGGGAAATTAGCTAGCAACATAGGGCACTATGTAGTAGCATTACATTACAACCAGCACAGATATACACACGTACCATCTTTCACATACCAAAACCCCTTCCCAACCAGCAATTCCTACCCTGCAATAACCAGAGCCAGGTAAGGTAGTCTGTTACTCAGAATTAGTTTGAGTTTTCAGTAAAGCAAACAAACCAAAATATTCTCCGCTGATTACATTAACCAGATAACCAAATTGTGATCAGTGCAATCAGCTTTCTCCTTTTCAGAGAAACAAAGGACCTACGTGACATGTTATGGCCAATGGTTGTGTCAGGACACAACACGAGAATTACACCCAAACTACTCAGCTTCCTTCAGCCACTGGACACCCACATTTCCCATTTGTACGTTTGAAGGAGAAAGGACGTACGGTTTTATTTCGTAATCGAATAATATCCGACACAGATCCAGCGCCGCAGTATTCCATGACTATCCACAGGTCTGTGTTCTTAAAATAGCTGCCATAATATTTCACCACATGAGGACTATAAAGTGTGAAAAAAGGAGGAGAAAACAAAGGGTCAAATACTAGTAACCAGCATAACTGAATAAGCAAAATACACTGCAGAGTCCTAAGCAAATTTTAGAAATTCAGAGTTGAAGTGTCACTGAAACCCTGATCAAAATCATTTCAAGGCAGTCTGAACTTGCACAGGGCTACTGCAGTCCTGCCAAGCCTCTTCCCCACAGTTCTGTTCTTCTGACCTGTCAATAAGCTCAGGAAACTAAACCACATGAAAACAAACCCTACAGAAAGAAGAGGCAAGTAGCCTGGTTTAGCTCCCTGAACTGGATTACAGCAAGGTCAGTGCTGTGGCAAGCAAGGTGGCAGGACAAGGGAATGAGAAACAGACCGTGGCAGTCCCTGGTAAAGCTGCTGCAGAGCATTTGCAACCAAACGGAAACACCAAATAAGGCCCAAAGTTTGCTGGAAAACGGCTATCATGTTCTTTAAGAGGAGTGTCTTGCTACTATCATCTGCACCTACTTGTTTCTAACATTTAGTCTGAGATGTCTTCTAGAAAACCAGTACAGCCTAACACTGTCTCTCAGTCAGCTCTCCGGCTGCTCCAAAAGCAAAGCACCCAGCCGAGTGCATAGGTCAGAATAACCACCTGTCCTCTGCAAAAGGTAAAGCAGCAAAACGACAAAAAGACTGTTCCTGATTTTACGGGAACACAGCTAAGACACAGCAGTGTGCTTCATCTATTCTCTGCTCAATAGTTTCTAATGAAAAACTGTAAAACTAGCAAGTCAGTCCCATGGCACAGTGTCCCTTAATGCCTGCACAGAAAATGTGATGCTCCAGCGATTCACTCCCTCTGCTGTTCATAACTGTAAGGTCTCATTTAAAGCCTTGTAATATTAGTGTTTAATTTCTTTCTTAAAAGAGACATCTAGCAATGCTTTCCAAGCTACATAGTAAGATTGTTCACAAATTCTTCTCAAGTCACCAGTCTTCTTCACCAGTCACCTTCACTTAAAGATAACAAGAGTGAAGTATAACAGAGTAAGTGACCGGGACCAGAGTTTTATATTGCTAATGTCATTTATTTTAAAGGGTTTTCCACACCTGAGGTACATCAAAGTAGTGTTTCTTAAAGCTCACAATACCAGAAGGAATTAGTGTATTTTAAACTTTCAGCCTAGGACACACTTGGAGAGGAGGTCTTTCATACCCATGAGCTCTTCATTAGCTACGTAAGCACAACATCTTTTCCCACAAGAAACATGCAAAGACAGCCCAGAGATCTAACCAGCGAATTATTCTGGGGATGCTCAGCTCAGCAGACAGCTTGTACCGCACTAGAACCTGCACAGGCAAAGACCGGCCACGAAGCACAATTCTGCCACCCAAGCAGATGACAGCACATAAATTACAGGCATGCAAGGGCTGTCATGCATTAGTAGCTCTCATCCACGTGCCCCTGAAACACGAATGAACAAAAAAAACCTCTTCTAACATTTTCCTATGTCCATGCCAAAACTTGTTTCGAAATTGTTACCCCTTTGGGCACGGGAACTGCTGTTCAAGCACACAACCAAGTTACTGCGGGGGGAGAACCACAGGCACTGCTCACACGCTTGGCTCTTCGCGGGCAGCAAGTGCAAGGTTATTCGACTTCGCTTAATGCTTTCTTGTTGCAAGCTGATGGTTTTGTTGTCTTACCTTTGTTTGGATTAACACTACCCAAACGTCAGGTAACATGATTCAGCTGATACGAGTAACTTGATCGTATAAGTCCAGCCTTTTAAAAAACATTTAAGGCAACATCACGGCTTTTATTTGGTTAAATGCCCGATCACAGGCAACACTTTTCTTGCTGTACTAATAATCGGGTTTGCAGTATACGTTTACCTGTCACATTGCTGCATTATGGATATTTCCTTTATAATCTCTTGCAAGTCAGATTCCACAGGAACTTGTTTAATTGCAACAACTTGACCCGTTTCTTTATGAATGGCTTTGAACACGCTGCCATAGGAACTACGAAACAAAATATTAAACAAACACTGAATACAGGAACATTTTACAAACACAAATGTTACAGTTTTGGTTTTTACAAGTGCAGTAACATTTTCCAACACAAATGTTATGGTTTTGCTTTTTACAACTGCAGACACCTGCAAAAAAATAAACTACCCTCCTGCCACAACTATTTTGTACTTTAATGTAAATAATCATCCACTAGCTTCTAAACACTCTAACAACACAAGTAAGTGACAGCACACTGAGATGGTCAGAATGGAGCCAACCATCATCCCACTGCCCACAGCTTTGGAAGGACCTTTTACAGAAATTCAACACATACTGTTCTCTCTTTTTTCCAGCATATGGTACCAGCTGAGCTTCAGTAAGAACTACAGCCTTGACTGGATAAGTTTGCTTGTTCTTGTCAGGTATTATCTGTCTTACTTCCAGCTTCTTATAGGGGCCATGCAGATTTACAACTCAGGTTTTTCAAAGGAGCTGCTTCAGAAGGCAAACGAGTCACTCACCGAGTATTCCCGCCTGGGTTCCCCCCAACTCCACCTGACCAAGTGGCACCAGGCAACACGGGCGCATTTCCACCGTGTGATCTTCCACAAGAGGTGCCAGGGATGAACTACAAAACCTCTCAAGTTCCCACAGAGCCCCATCAACTCCAGACTGACATTTCTCAACACTGTTCCAACTCCCTGTAGCTGAGCCACGCACTAGCATTTGGATTAAGGTATCTTACTCTTGGGGAACAAATTTCTCATTCTGTTACTTACTGAACACCATCACTACACTCATGCATATCTCTGCAGGAACAGGATCGTGACAGAAGTGAAAAAAAATACCAGAAACCACTGAACAAGCATCCCTTACGGAAGTTAGTTCTCAGAGAAATGTACGCTGGGCACACAGGAATAGAACACGTACCCTTCTCCAAGCTTCTCCAATACATCAAATACTTCTTCAGGTTGTTTGGTTAAACTGTCTTCATCTAACTTCTTCAGCTGCCTGTTTATGTAAGAATAGAGAAATTATGACATTCAATTTAAGGCAGTTTGGGCTTTGTTGAAAAATAATAAATAGCATGGCTTAAATGTAAGCCAGGCTTAGTACGAACTAAAATGATTATCAGGCAAGTTTATTTCACCTGACCAGGAGACTGAATATTATTTACATCCAATAACAGAAGAGGACTGGAAATTACTGAGAAAAGAATTTGATCAGACACACAAATCCACAGCTCCTCTTGGCGGAATCACATCTCAGGATCTATATGCAGCACTGCAGCGTCCTGCAGCTTTCGAACGTATTTGCTGAAGTTCACTATCTTGTAGGGAAGGATATGTACTAAAGCCATGCAAAAGGGAACACCAACTTCCCTGATGCCTTAAGAGTATACATGGAATACACCTGTTGGGAGGAAAGAGGCAATTCTTGATCTCACTCGTACATTTTTAACATCAGAAGTGCCTGGACATGTACAAGGAACATTCTATTAGGAAAAAAAAAAAAAAAAAGGAAAAATAAAGAAAGAAAGGAAATTAGCACCTGATTCTTTTAGGATCTTAACACTGCTTGGTGTACCCTTCTTTTAAACACACTGCCAGTAAGACTCAGCTGAAACATTTCACAGGGAAAAAACTCCACATACTGTGCACCTTCACTCTGCCCCTCTCACCCCCAGTACAATTCTCAGGGAGGTTCCCTGCACAATGCAGCAAGATCAACTGCATTTGTTTCAGTCCACCTCTACCACACCAGAGAGAATCCCAAAATTGCTAAGGACTACATAAAAAAAACATTCTGAAAACTGTCGAACAAACAGTACTCAACAGCCCATGAACAAGAGCTCTTTCATTTTCACATGAACTAAAAGAATAAAAAAGAAACAACACAACACACCACAAAATACACACAAACAAAAAGAGCCCCTCCAAATTCTGCAAATCAACTCACAAAAGTTTTTGAAACACTGAAACATACGAGGCTGTCTGAAAATGCAAATTACTACTGAAAGCTGTTAAAGACCACAACTCTAGCCCCAGGTGTGCTGATTTTGATAATAAATACTTAATTTTTTGCCCCCAATTTCTTCATTAACTGAGTGAAAGGCTACTCACTGATCCCTGGCTATTATGTTTATGCACAAAAGCCACACAGGAGGAGTAGCTCACACATGAAGTACATACAATGGCTTCCTGAAGCAAAGGAAACGTGATAAAGAAGCAGACTCAGGAAGTGGTGAAATACTGAAAGCAGTCGCTGGCTTCCCTGCAAAGATAAGCAATAACCAGCAGTGGTACTTGTCCTTGTGAAAATGTGGACAGAGGAAGATGTAGGAAGAGGAGAAAAAGGGGAAAAAGAAGAAAAATTATCAGTGACCACACAAGCTGCCATTTCCAAGGAGCCTAAAAAGTGGTGATGCAAGAGGCAGATCCTTCTTGCTGATATTGAGCCCTAAATTATAAAAAAAAAAAACCCAAACAACCAAAACCAAACCCAAGCTTTCCACACACCCAAACAACTACTGCATTTTCACCAAGCTACCTCACAGAATCACAGAGTCACCTCATTTCTGCTACAGTCCAGGCATGCAATTGCTTTGCGCCACCCAGTTCGTCCAGAGTGTCTGCGGCTCTCAAAGGCACGTCCTGCCTTTTTATTGTATGTTTGTACCACACGGATACAACAGCAACACAAAGCCAATCTCGGCCGAGTCGTCATTCAGATTTAATCTGAATCACCTTCCAGTTGAGCACTGGCATAAGCAATTATAATTATTATTTTTTTTTAAACAGAAGTTACATTATTGGTTTGTCTAACTAAAAAGACTGTGTCACTGAAGAACAGGGCCAGCAGCTTCCTTTGTTCGCTGCCGAAACCGCTCCC